GTTTTAATTTTCCTTTAAAACCATGCCTTTTCTGCCAATTATTTAAATCTTTACATTTGAAAACATTTGAATCAATCTGAATTTTACCTCGACATGTACTTAACATCCCCTTTAAGTATTTGTCTTTTTGTTACATAAGTTCCCCATTTTGATTTCTTATTTTATTCAATTTTTTATTTTGTAATTTTTTATTTTACGCTGTGCTCAAAAAACTAAAAACAAACAAACAAACAAAAAATCTTAATAGTTGGTCTTGTGATCTACTTCAACTGATCAGCAGTCGTACGTTTACACCGTTTTCAGACTGCCCGCTGATTCGATCACAATTCCTTCTCAGTCACACACATTCACATTCACTATTTTTTAGGCCTTTGGCATCTAGGGACTGCTGCCCAGGGACTTCAACCCACTTAGTTCTGAAACCCATTTATCAGAATTTAGGGATTACTGCCCAGGGACTCCAACCCATATTTCAACGACGCGCTGGTAATAAAAATAGTTTCTCACCCTCGTCATCGATCTTATTTTGGTATCAGATGCCGTCAATCAGCAGCCCAGGATCAAGTGTCGGAGTACTGGCCTGAGTAAGAATTCACTCCCCAGGGCTTTCCCTAGAACCTGGTTCTGGCCATGCACGGTCTTCAGTCGTCCTCCACCTGGATGCCAACAAATTAAGCAGAACCTAAAGATCTGCTTAATTTGTTGGCATCCGGCTCGAAGGACCAATTTATGTCAGGTTTATTCTAACATATATGACGTCAAAGTAACAACACAAAAGACGTCTTGATTTTTTACTTGAGAGGACAGCTTACTCTTCTGGCAGCTTCCTCATCATCTTCGAGTCGCCACACCCTTCCTCTGCACTTTTATTGAGTTTATAAAAGTATCAGATTACATATCATGTGATCGTGTATGAGTATATGAATGGGTATGGAGTAAGAAGGTGGGTGTGAATGGGGGTGTGGCTGTGTCTGGTAATTTCTCCATCAGTCTTGAGCACAATAGATTATAATATGAGAAGCAAACAGTTTCTTAAAGCGACAGTACAGCATGAAGCAATGATAATAAATTAAATTCTTCAAACAGATATCAAACAAAAATATCAGCCACAGATATTAGACATAGAAAAATCCAAATGTTCACATTTAAGCTTCAGCTCTGTTGAATTATATGTCACACTCACACATGAACATTTAGGCACTCATTCATACACACACACAGTCTTAGTCAGTTGAGTCAGGGGAAGAGAGAGAGACCAGTCAAATAGATTCAAAACTTATACCACATAATTTTACAGTTTTGATATATTTTCTTCCAACACTATTTACATATTTTTCCACACTTTTAGTACTTTTTCTTCCAACACCGATTACAAGCCTTTCTCCACAGAGTAGCCAAATATTAATTGTTCTATCTCCAGCTACTTTATTCACCTTCTGGGGTGTCCCAGAGTTACAAACTTAACACTTTTTTTGTCACAAATGCTGATTTACATGTTGCACACATGTGTTGTTATACAAATGCGCATAAGCTATATGACCCCTGTACTTATCCTTTGCCGACTGGAATAACCTTTATGTGAGCCTTACTTAGACCTCTGAGTTGCCAGCACTGTGTTTTTTTGTTTTACTTGTATGTGTGCGTTTTCTCTCACTTTTTTCCATACTCAGCTGGGGTGTCCCAGAGTTACAAACTTAACACTTTTTTTGTCACAAATGCTGATTTACATGTTGCACACATGTGTTGTTATACAAATGCGCATAAGCTATATGACCCCTGTACTTATCCTTTGCCGACTGGAATAACCTTTATGTGAGCCTTACTTAGACCTCTGAGTTGCCAGCACTGTGTTTTTTTGTTTTACTTGTATGTGTGCGTTTTCTCTCACTTTTTTCCATACTCAGTTTCTAGTGAATTGCCTTTTCACGTATTATCATAAAGGTGATCAGCCCAAATTTGTACTGTCAACATGTATGCGTGTCCTACATAGCTTTTACACTAAAGCGCACATCGCTCCATACGTTGATTCCAACCATGTTGGAAGACCCAATTCCAGTCCGGCTTCTTATTCACTACACATCTCTTTTTTTATTTTTACTTCTTTTATCTCTTATCTCTTTTACACTGCCGGGGGTTTCGGTGAGCCGGCTCACACACACACACTTCCCATTGTATTATATCTCATTTTCACACATCACTCTGTCCAGTCAGACACTACTGCAATATACAGTCTACTACTGCAATCTACAGTCAGAGCCTACTGAGAGTTTACACTTTACTCTGTCCAATCATACACCGCTGCAACATACAGTATACAGTCACGAGTCTACGTTTCCCAGAGTTTCCCATTCTGGCCAGTCTCACAGCTGCTGCCTAATTCAATGTTTCCAATTCTACACAAGTACACAGCGCAGTGTTTATAATAATTTAGCAGCTGTTTCTGCATGCAGAGTCTAACGAGCCGGTGAGAGCAACGTCCCTACTGCCTTTTGTTTAATTTTTGGCAAGGACCTCAGTGCTTACCAGAGGAGGCTGGAAGCCAGCAATGGACAAGCATGTGCATTAATAGGAGGAAAAGTTCCTACCTGGTGTGCACGTTGCACAGCCGGTCCAGTGGAGGAGCCCAGCCGCCCCGGTCCACAGGCCCAAGCGATCATGTCGGGGTCACCAATTATATTGTAGAAAGAGATGTCTGCAAATGAGGCTTGTCTGCCTCACACTTCTGGACACACTTCTCCGTCTCGGGGGATTTATTGTATTAAAGGTTTCTGACCATGGCAGGTCCAACAATGAATCTCATCTGAACATTCACCAACAAATCCCACCTTCTGATACATGCTGATCCTTCTTTTAGGCATAGACAATCATGGTGTTACATAACATTTGGCTGTTGTTCTGACCAAACATGGTCAGACACTTTCCAGATGCCAACATGAGGATGTTGCCTAATATTTGGCTCACATTCAGCTAGTAACCGGATAAACATGTTCATTTACCCAGGTCACCTAGACCTGTGTTTGCATGTGCCTGTCTCCAGTCCTCCTGTTATTCTGGCGTCAGTTTGGCTTGTTGAACATGTCAAAATATATATATATTCTTCTTGTCAGTTTCCTGTTATTCTGGTCTACATGATGTTTTTCATTACCACAGTTTCCATACAGGTAACACTAGTAGTGGAGGTTCTAGAGGTTCTTTGTGCTTTGTTGTTCAAAATGTCAATTTTATTCCAACTTTTCTGTGCTAGCAGAAAAGTATAAAGTGCTTAATACTATTAGATATCCTCTTCTCTCCAATATAATCCACATAAACCATCACTGATTTATACCACAGCACAGACAAGTTGTTGTTCAACCTCTCACTATCAGTATCAGTAAATTTAAAAGTGTCAATGCTCAACCTTGTTGGAAATGCTTCCCTTGCATTTACCTCAGTCACACATACTGAGCAAGAGCTGCAGCATTTGACCAACAGCATCTGATTCCCCACAGTCTGAAACATAAATTATCTAAATTTCCCACTGGGAGTAAGAAAGTTATTTGTATAATTTTTGTGTAAATACTGAAGAAAGGCTATTTTTGTTTAAATTTAATACATTAAACTTAAATATGTCATGTGACCTGTTAGTAGGGATGTTCTTCAAATCCTGTTTACATTCCAATTGCTGGGAAAGAGTGTGAG